ATTCATCTGGAAGCATGTCACTAATAAACACTATGCAGTAAGGTATTTTGAGGTGAGTGGGATCTTCAGTCCGTGATGAATACTGCCTCACAAATAATTAGTAATTGTGATGGTGGTAATAATAACGATAAAGGTACTTATACTTATGTTAACAGCTGAACTATGAATGATAACAAAATGGATTTCATAAGGTATAGAGTGGTTCATGGGAAGTATACGACTCAGAAAGGAGCGTCGAATTAATGTGAACGGTATATCAGTGAAGTATTGTGTAGTAGGATTAGGGAAGTTGCTAAAACAAAACCAATGTGTTTTGAAGAGAAGAAGAATTAGCAAAACAACGTCGGAAAAGGAATGAGTTTGGAATAAATGTAGAACAGTGTGAAATGGAGTTGTGTTTTACATTCTCTTAATATATTATTTAGAACTGTCTATGCGAGCCCCTAATGTTCGCCATATTTGTGGGATGTCTAACCCGTCTCCTCTGTTGACCGAAGAAGGTTACGAACAGATATGCAAAGCTTCTGCAATAACGCGCTCTTTATGAGGAAGAAAAATCCCTTCCAAGACTTTTGTCTTTTAGAATGGTATTTTATGACCTGAATATAAGGTGTGAACTGCGACGGTAGAGTATTTTTCAAGTTTTCGAGACCACAGGGATTTTTTGGTTGATACATGCAGCTTCGGCCGTTTTCAGTTAAACTTGTTAGTACTTGAGATGATATCGCTCCAGTGTACGTGGCTTCGGATTCATTTCGCTTTACCTTATAAACCCAGTTTTGTTGTTCCAAACGAGGAATTGCGTCTATGTGAAAAGTGTTCATCACCTTAAAGAATACTCTGATGTTGTAACTATTAAGGATACGCCTTATTTTGTCCGATGCGAATGTTCCATAAGGAAGTACTACAGTACTTGTCCAATCTTGATGAGTTGATTTTTCCATATTTCTTTTGGGTAAGCTTTTTTCTATCCTTATTAGTGGCTTTTCCGGATAGTTGTTTTTTAAGACTTCTCAAATATGTTGCCTATCAGCTTTCTGAGATTCCTTTGTGATCGTTTGTGATCTGGTCAACATATTTTGGAGCTTTTTAAACTTAGTTTCTAATGGGTGAGCTGAATTGTAATCAAGGTACTTGGTATAATGCATATCTCTTCGATATTCATCAATATCAAGTGTCTATCTTGTTTCGCATGGCCTTGCAGTCTAGGAAAGCTAACGTTGTGGATTTTATCTCTGGTTCATAATTGAATTTTATAGAATTGAAACGGCTCTTAGGATGTTCGAAAAGATTTTCTAGACCTCGTCTTTTGGTTATAAAAGAGGTCTCTTCAACATACCTCCACCAAATCCTCGGTTTTAAATCGTGTCGGCTAAAAATGTCTGATTAGGCGTTGTACAGGTACAGGTTAGCTACAATAGGTGATACCCATGAGACCATTGCTACTCTACTAGTTTGACGATAAAGATTACTTCAGAGAGTTAAAGTTGTTGAAGTCTAACATAATTTCAGTGGATTGCAGATTTCACTGATGGGAATATTACATCTAAATGATCAGAAAGTATCAGATTCTAATAACGATTCAACAGCTTTTATGCCTTCATCAAATTGAATATTTGTATACAGAGAAACAGTATCAAGGCTAACCATGATTTCATCATCAATGCTTGTTTGTGATGATTTATGCTTAAAGTCTTATGAATTTTTAATGACAATTACCAAGCTATCTTGTTATAGTCTGAGGATTTTTGTGACGTAATTGGAAAGAAGAGAGAAGACGGAGGTGATGAAGATACCCAACCAACAACAGAATCAACGACAAGCATCAATCGCCATTAACGGGAGAAACCTAAAAGAAATAGTCTCTTTCACCTACCTAGGCAAGGCAGCATCGTTTCAACTACAGGCGGTGGCACAGATGAAGATGTCAAAACCAGGATTGGGAAAGCAAGACAGGCTTCCATTAATCTGAGATAATCAGTGTGGAAATATACTGCACCCAGTACAAAGAACAAGATACAGATTTTCAACACTAAGTCAGTCAAGTCTGTGTTTCTGTATGATTCAGAAACTTGGCGCGTTACAAAAAGCACTTCCAAGAAACTACAGACATTCATTTACAGGGTTAACTGGCATCATCTTATTTCGTCGATTTTCATCAGCTGCATACAATCTAAATTTGCGTATCTTATTACTATTTATTGACATACTAGTTATTCCCCGTTGTTTTGTTGGGTCGTTTCTCTGTGGCATAATGCCTTGGCGCTTGAAGCAATGGGTACGAGGTTCGAGTCTCAGTGGGAACAACATCACTGGGGTGCAGGTACGTCCAGCTGGTGAGTCCCAAATGGGATGAAATGCGCTTCCTGGATTCTTCTGCTAGCCACAACCAACCGAATTATCATTATTAACATTCAGGCAATAACGAGGCATCCGCATAGGAGCCTATATGCCAATATAGGTTGAACAATTCGATCCAACAAAACAACGGGGAATAACTAGTATGTCAATAAATAGTAATAAGATAAGCAAATTTAGATTGTATGCAGCTGATGAAAATCGACGAAATAAGATGATGCCAGTTTGCCCTGCAAATCTTTTCTTTCACGCTTTGATCATTGCATACTTTAGAAAGAGGCTATGAGAAATAAATAACGAGCTCAATGTATTCAGTTATATCAAGGTGATACTTTCCATCAGAGTCTGACTTCAATATTGATATAAGTACCTTTCAAACTCTCCATCTGATGTATTTACTTCTGAACTGTGTCTTAATTGGCTGTATAACTAAAATCATATTAAGGCAATAAAGGTAAAACAATTTGTAGAAACCTTTTGATTATTGTTACTGATAGATTGTTTTAGAAATACTATGGATATGACTTGTATAAATGTAGCTTGAGTACAAATTCTCTAGTCATATTTATCACTGTTGTGGAGCTGTGATATAACACACATGCTCTTTATTGAAAATATAAGAAAATTTTATTGCTGATTTTGGATTTTATCAGTTGAAAAAAACGTTTTCATTCTCTTTTAGATATGCTAACACAAGCCAGTGAAAAACTAAAATCCACCTAAACAAGTTTGACATCAACAAGTTGTTTTTCTCACCTAAATTGGGAAATATTTCTTCTTGAATATAACTAGACTATTTCTTTAACTTGATTATACAACAAACAGTGGGGAGGGAGAAGAGAGGGATAAGCTGGCTGGACAGCAGAAAACAACCTAGAAGATTTGGATTTCGCCAATGATCACTCATGTCTAATGTCACACAGACTTGAAGATCTACAGGCAAAACTAACAAGTTGATAGAAGAGGTAGGACAGGGCAGGACAGGATAGTGAAGACGGGACTTCAAGTGAATATAGAGAAGACAGAGGTGATGAAGATACACAATCAACACCAACACCACCAACAACAACAACAATTACAATAAGCTGCAATCAACATCAACGGGAGAAACTTGAAGGAAGTAGCCTACTTCACCTATCTAGACAACACTGTCTCAACTACAGGCAACACACGCACAGATGAGGACGTCAAAGTCAGCCAGTCAACCAGCCAGCCAGCCAGCAAGCCAGGATCAGAAAGACACCAAGACAGGCAGGCATTCACCAACCTGAAACCAGTGTGGAGATCTGCAGCACTCAGCATGTGGAACAACATCCCGATTTTCTACACCAACGTCAGTCAAATCAGTGCCTCCGTGTGATGGTTGAGAGACTTGGCGTGTTACGAAAGGGATTTCCAACAAACTACAGATATTCATGAACAACTGCCACCTACGCTGGCTCGTCACTGAAGATCAGATGGGCAGAGAGAATCAGTAACAAATAACTCTGGCTGGGAAGGAACCAACGAAGCAAGAACCCACCACTCAACAAATATGCAGGGGAAGTAAGTGGAGATGGATTTGATTGGGCATAGACTGAGAAGGCGGACTGGGGACATCACGTGTGAGGCGAGATGCTTGAGTGGAACGGAGATGGGAAGCGGTGAGTTGGGTGTGTTAGTTGAGGGTGACATGGAGGAGATGTTGTGTGAGGAATAAATGAGGTCTTGTGAGGTGTTGTGGAGTGAGGTTGAGAAGTTTGTAGAGAAGAGAGTGTTGTGGAGACGTTCTAGTGAATCGGTATGTTCCATTAGGAACCCAAGGAACAAATAAAAATTAAATTTCTTTAACTTCCGTCTTCTAGGTACAATAAATCACTTGAAATTTAATTACCTTCTGGCAAAAGTTTACCGTGAAGACTGAAACAGTTCGACACCAAAAGCAAAGACTAGTAACTTCATTTGTTGACACAAAGTTGTGACTGAATGTTAAATGAAAACCTAGGTCACCGCAAGATTCGAACCAGTGACCTCCGTATCACCTGGTCGGTGTTCTTGAGACTAGGTCTTCATTTCACCTCAGACATCATGGGCTTTGCTCGGCTACCACATGAATTCGTAATACGTCGTAATCACATTTGCTGCTCACTCCAGTCTTTGCATCTCCGTGGAAATTGAGCTGAATGGGAAAGTGGTAGCTTCACACTGAATATCAGTGCCACCGTCTGAGTCAGCGGTTGTTCTGCAAAGTGGTATTGTTGACAAAGAATAATAACTGGAAGTCAAATTAAACCTAGGTTTGGCATGACTTGCATTCAGGTTTTCATTTCACCTTCAATTATTCTGTATGAACAATACCAGTCCGCTAAACCATGGTTACCTTGTATAGTCTCTCAGACTTTCTAGTTCGACTCAATTTGGGTTGAGAAGAGAAGACCGAGCTAGGTAGCCATTGTGATAGTCCTACTATTGATATTCATTTGTGTTCAGATAAATGTCTGTTTACTTAAGAGTTGCGAATTTATTACTTATATCGCGTTTTGATGGAAGTGAATGTGTTTAGAATAAAGATCGATTATCTCTTTATAATATTATTTTTGACTACTTCATACCTTTTATGTTAAAATGTCTTTGGGAATATTTATCTACCATTTTATTTGAAGTTCTAGACCTGGACGTCCGTCGAAACGTCTGGCTGGAGTAGAAACACCAGTTTTATCATCTATTCTCGGAACATGTCATTCAAATAACTTCCTAGAGGATGACCTAAATGAATCCAGTCCTAAGCAATCACGTAGCTGTTCTACTGAAATGGATGGCAGTTGTAATGGTCAAACACGAGACAATCACATACCATGGATTAACTCTCATCCTAATCTTTCTGCATATCCTTTGATGAATTCCCTTGGATTTATTCCACCTCTTCTTTTTAAATCAAAATTTCTTGAACATCTTCAATCCATCTATTCTTCTTTTATGAAATATACCCTTTCTAATAATCAAAGTAAATCAGAATGTGAACGCAGCTCTTCGGGATCTATAGATTCTAAGTTGATTCGGGATGGTAGGAAAGGAGAAAATTCAATTTCCCAGTTTATGGATTTACAATGGACTCCACCGAATAATACAGGAAAAATTGATGACCAGCATCTAGTTGCAGGTTTATTTAGAGAAAATATACAAAACTCACTTAAACAGCCAAAAGAATGGAGGAATTATCACCAATCTTCAGGTGAATTTCGAGTTTTTTTAATATACATGAAATAGTTTTAGTATAATTGCTTGTATAATACTGTCGTTGATTGAACCGAATTGATCAATCTCTATTGGTGTATGGGCTCCTGTACAGGTGCCTCAATATTACCTGTGTTTTAATTATAGTAATGATGGATAGTGGCTAGCAGTGGAATCCCAGATGCGCACTTCGTCCGATTTTGGGACTCGTCAGCCGGACTTACGTGCTTCCCAGTGAGTGGTGTTGTTCCCACCGGAATTCGGACTTAGGAGAGATCGCTCGGTGGCTCAGTGGTGTAGTGGATAACACTCTGGCGTTTGGAGTGATCGTTCCCGAGTCTGAATCCCAATGGGAATAATATCACTCACTGGGAGGCGGGTACATCCAGTTAACGAATCCCAAATAGGACAAAAAGCACATCTTGGATTCCACTACTAGCCACTATCCATCTTTACCACGTGAAGTAACGTTTGATTTTACAAATTTAGGCTCTTTCATTTAGCCAACTGTTAGTCATGAGAAATGAAAAAGTATTTAACTAAAAGCAGTTACACTGTTTCAATAGAATTTAAGTAGTTTTAGGATAAATGAACTCACAGTGAAGTCTGAAAATATTTTAGAAGGGTTTGCTGGCTAACTCAATTTAAATGGTTATATAACAATTAAAATGTGTTGCATAAACTCAAGTGATCTATAGCTAACAGTCTCGTAACAGTAATTGTTGTATTCAGTATTATTACTATGTCACTTTCATATAGGGCTCTCCTTTTCTAAAGTTATATATTGACTTACAAACTCAGTTGAAATCATATAGTAAAACATCTGTCTCATTATCCGATATAAGTTTAATCCCTAGAGGAGTTATCTTTAGGCATAACAGCACAAAGCTTACGAATGGTATTTCGATCATTTACTTATTCATAAAACTGCTAATAGGAATGGCAAAGTCAGGCTTGTCATTGCATGAAATGTCTGTTTCATTTTTTATGTCAACTTCATCTACAAAAACCGTATGTTTTTTCAAATTGTTGTTCATCATAGACTGTCATCAGTTGAAGGGACATTGGAAACCTGGTAGCACTAGATAGCTGTTTCGTCATGTTATGGGATTCATCAAGAGCACTTCTGTGTATTCTCTTAATCAAAGTTATTTGTTCTTCCCCAGAATATTTTTATGTAAGCCTCTTCGATTCCCTTTCATTCCTTTTTGAATTGCAGATTAAGTCATGTATCGTTGGGGAAGATTTCTGTCTCAGTTATTAAACATCTAACATAGATATGCTTAAGTATTAGACTTCAGTTAGTTGTTTCTTATGAGAGTGGTTAACATTTGCTACTAAAAGATCCCATATCCTACTTAAAATATTTTATAATTTCTATCTTCTCAGTAAACTTCTACATGATATAAATATGATAATTTTTTGAAATGTAGGACCGTTGGGCTGTCATTGGAGAATGTAAAGTACTCTCAGACTAACTTCCCATTACAGTTATGGTATTTAGCGTGATGTCATATAAATTTGAGAAATTATGAATAATAGTTTATAATATTATCAGAGAACTCACTTTATCATGCCATAATATGTAGTGAAAATGACTATTCGCCTCAATAAATGTACCTTATTTCAATGTAAAACTATTGCTGTCTAATATGGTGACGATTTACTATTGGTAAGTTTTTTATGAGTCACGGATAACTGTTCAATGAAATATAAGATTCAGTTTTCACTGTTTCGTTTACAGAGCCCGCCAATTTATGAAGGTCTTATCATACTATCTGATACTCACTTTCATCATTGTAATTTTTTATTCGCCAGTGTTCGACAATTACCTCAGTGAACACTTCTGTATAACTCAATGAACACTAAAAAAAAAGGATAAGTTGTGGTAATATCTGATTTGACAGTTTTAAAGGGAAGTAAATAAACTGATAATTTCGCTAATGTGGTTAAAAATGACTTCCGTTAATCATCATGTTATCCTTTGTCATTGATTACAAGTCTGAAAGCCTCTTATCACCTATGTGAAACCACGCATGTCGCTGGTTTTGTCTACAGATTTACTATTAGTTAAAATTGTTATCAACGAGTTTGGCACCTGTAATGTAGATTTCTGAATCTTTCCCACAGAAAACATTACAAGTATTATACACAAGCCTACATTTTAACACGGTGGTTAAAAATTCTAATTCAAGTCGTGACCGGTGGAGTCAAAGCCTGATGGCCGTGAGGACAAATACTCAACGATGACATTGGGTGGCGGTTGCTCTATATATCGTGAGCTAACAGAAGTTGGAAATATGGAGCATTGGATTCTGACCCAGTGGCTCAATGGTAACGCGCTGACCGCGGAACCTGAAGGTCGCGGGTTCGATCCCTGCTGGTGGGGTGGTGGGTGCGCATTGCTGAGGAGTCCCATACTAGGACGAAACAGCTGTCCAGTGCTCCCAGGTTTCCCTTGTTCCTCCAACTGATGTCAGTCATCGATGAATAACAACTTGGAATTATTTAACCACCTGATGTATGTTTTATTTTTATCAAGTAAATACAATAAGAAGTAATGATAGAGATTATATTTTTCAGTATTCTGAAAGTCATATTAGCCATAGATTAAAATCCGTTAATAAAATCTAACATTTTTTTCTCGTTTCATTAACAGATTCCCAACGAATATTTGATTCCAAACTGCAGTATTTTTTAAACCAGTTTATTGAAATGAATTATCCTTTAAAATCAAATCATCACTCATCAACCCTATCAGGCAACCTAAATGATTCACCAATAAAACAGCAGAGAAGCAACAATGATCATGTGAATCATCGGGTGTATTCATCATTGAATATGAATGCAATGGAATCTTCCTTGCATCCACTATCCAATCAAGTGACTTCAACAAACGTATCCGAAAATACATTCACGCAACCTGCTAAAACTGTTTTATTGTCAAAACATACAACGGATCATAACAAGAGTGAAGAAGAATCTCATTATAGACTACCGATTTCTGAAACCTTTATTCCATACGATTCCGTTGTAGACATGAAGTCAAATCAACAAGAATCTCTTAGTTTTTCAATAGAAAAGATTAAAAATGTAAGTTTATTTTTATAAAATAAACTATAGCATAATTGTTTTTATATGATACCGTCGTTGATTGGACCGAATTGATCAGTCTCTATTGGCATATGGGCTCCTGTGCAGATGCCTGGCTGTTGTCAGCGTTCTATTTATTTTAATGATGGATCGTGAGTAGCAGTGGAATCCAGGGTGCACACTTTGTCCTATTTGGGACTCGTTAGCTGGATGTACCTGCTTCCCAGTGAGTGATATTGTTCCCACCGGAATTCGGACTCGGGAGCGATCGCTTCAAACGACAGAGTGTTATCCACTACACCACGATCCATCATTAAAATAAATAGAACGCTGGCAATATCGAGGCAACCGTGCAGGAGCCAGTATGCCAATAGAGACTGATCAGTTCGATCCAGTCAACGACGGTATCATATAAAAACAATTATGTTAAAAACTATACCCGTCTCGCGAGAAGTGGCTACTGTGGCTCGATGGTGTGGCGGATAACACTCTGGCATTTGAAGATATCGCTCCCGAGTCCGAATTCCAGTGGGAACAACACCACTCACTGGGAAGCAGGTAAGTCCAGCTGACGAGTCTCAAGTCGGATGAAGTGTGCATCCGGGATTCTACTGCTAGCCACGATCCATCATTAAAATAAACTATACTTTGCGCTGGCAATCGATCTCTTCCCCCAAATACTTAGATTTTCTAGGAATTTTGAGGCTTAAATGGATAAGGGATCTGTTTCTATGCTCAGCTGTACACTATGAATAATATAACACTGAGAACGTGATGCGAACCAACTAACCTGTTACCTGATTGATGCAAACTTTACTTTGGAAGACGATATAAGTAGTCAGAAAATTATGGAATCTAACAAAGTTAAAAATAGTTGGCAGCTGTAAGAGGAATGATTTTAGTAAACTGTATAAATATAAAGGAATCCGAAAAACGGAAGGAGATTACGACCACAACAAGATAAAAGAATAAAAACATATTTTCTGCACTCACAGGTGAAAGTTAAATTTTTCAATCTCAAGCGCTTTTCTTTTGCATGAGATTCTAAACTGAACTCTTTTTGAACTATTTGTTACAACTATGTAGAATTTCTTGATAGAGAACTCTAGCAAAGCTATGGGATCAGAGCTAATCACATTTTCAAGAATAAAACTGTTGACTGACTTATATTCTACTATTCGCAGTAATGCAGAGTATGGCTCTTAGGCGAGCTCTGAAAGCTGGTGTTTTCTACATCATATATTATTAGCTCCATAGGATCGAATAAAGTTGTAGACACATCATAGTGTCACAAGTCTATAATTTGTCCTTAACACAATTAGAAACTAAAGTTGGTATTCATAACGGACTGATAATAGTTAAAGGACCATTGAAAACCAGAGAGGACTGAACATCTTTTCCGTTTTAATATAGGACTCCTCAGCATCGCGTACTTACAATCCGGTCGTGGACTGAACCCGAGACCTTCAGGTTTCCTGAGAAACACGTTAACGTTGAGCCACTGAGTCGAAGTCCAACAGTTCACGTTTTCCTACTTCTGTCATTTCATGATATAGCTTGATCTTCATCCAGTGCCGGTTAGAGTAGATAATCTATAATTAAACTGAAAAGAATGTTTTTTTTTAGTGATCTGAATGTCGAATTATTTAGAGTTTTTGCTTACAGTATTACCTCAAGAATTGACATTCTTTATTAAAGCTTTTTCCAAAACTGTACAGAACATCTGGGCGAGTTGTGCAGTCCTAAAGTTTTTTTTCACATTTGTCGAAGATGTATGTACATCTTACATGAGTTTTTGTCGAATACAATCCATTATCACAAGTGTCATCTCTACACACAACCTTAATTTTCAGGGAAAATGAAGGAGTAGGATTTCGTTTTCTGTATCTGTGTTTATTTGCGGAAATTATCACACTATCTTTATCAACTCTGCATAAATTCATCTTTGAAGAGAGCTAACCATGTTGTGTTGCCTTCTAGACTATAACATCACTGGACAAAAAATCATTTATTGATTCTTTAGTTAGCTTTAAAGTATTAGATTCAATAATATAAAATGTTTGATTACTATTTTAAGGGTTAAAAAACACTCAGCAGAAGAAAGAAATGAAGTTATTAAAGGATAAAATCTGGAATACCTATTACGTTGAGTATCATATCTAACAGACACTGCTGAGTAGCTTCAATAGGGAAAAATATGAAAATTGGTTTGTCAGTAAACCACTTCAATGAAAGTTGGCGTCTTTTAATTTTACATACACTAAAGTGTTTTAGACTGTCGGAACCATAAATGAATTCCACAGTGTCATAAATAGAGTATACTGTTAGCAAAAATGAGGTTTGCAACAGTAAATATGTGAAATAATAATATATATGACCTGTGAAGACAGGAGTAAAACAAGGCTGTGTACTATCACCTACGATATTTCTGATTGTAGTGGACTGGATCATGCAACAAACAGTGAGGAGAGAGAAGAGGAGGATACGCTGGCTGGACAGCAGAAAACAACCTAGAAGATTTGGATTTCGCCGATAATCACTCGTGTCTAATGTCACACAGACTTGAAGATCTACAGGCGAAAACTAACAAGTTGACAGAAGAGGCAGAACAGGGCAGGACAGTGAAGATGGGACTTCAGGTGAATATAGAGAAGACAGAGGTGATGAAGATACACAACCAACACCAACACCGTCACCACCACCAACAACAACAATTGCAACAAGCTGCAATCAACATCAACGGGAGAAACTTGAAGGAAGTAACCTCCCTCACCTATCTAGACAACGTTGTCTCAACTACAAGCAACACACTCACAGATGAGGACGTCAAGGCCAGCCAGCCAGGATCGGAAAGACTGCAAGACAGGCATTCACCAATCTGAAACCAGTGTGGAGATCTTCTGCACTCAGCATGTGGAATAACATCCCGATTTTCTACACCAACGTCAGTCAAATCAGTGCCTCCGTGTGATGGTTGAGAGACTTGACGTGTTACGAAAGGCATTTCCAACAAACTACAGATATTCATGAACAACTGCCATCTACGCTGACTCATCACTGAAGATCAGATGACCCGAAAGAATCAGTAACAAATAACTCTGGCTGGGAAGGAACCAACGAAGCAAGAACCCACCACTCAACAAATATGCAGGGGAAGTAAGTGGAGATGAATTTGATTAGGCATACAGTGAGAAGGCGGACTGGGGACATCACGTGCGAGGCGAGATACTTGAGTGGGACCCAGATGGGAAGCGGTGAGTTGGGTGTGTGAGGTGAGGGTGACATGGAGGAGATGGTGTGTGAGGAGGAAATGAGATGTTGTGAGGTGTTGTGGAGTGAGGTTGAGAAGTTTGTAGAGAAGAGAGTGTTGTGGAGGCGTGCTAGTGAATCGGTATATTCCATTAGGAACCCGAGGAACAAATAATAACAATAATGACCTATGAAAAGCTAAATATCTGCACTTAATCACGGGATCAAGGGAAAAACGTCGTTGTGATGATAGAAAATACTTTTCCGGTGAATTCATTTTCAGTACTTTGCATTCTTAAACGTATAACTCAAAGGACTGAAAGTCCTGGGAAAATATCTTGTTAGCCGTCAAGGTCAAAGGTGAGTGCTATGTAACAATGGAAGGAGTTTAAAAATCTTCAGAAGGTTAACAAATAGGATAATAAGAAATTAATGATGAAAAGAGCTACCTAGCAGAGCCTTTTCCGGAGAAAAGATATATGCTGAATATAACAAAAACAAAACGCAGAGATGCAGTGCGCCAACTTTAATTTTAAGATGAGGAAAATGCTTTTACCCTTTTTTTAAAACAAATACAAGTTTGAAATTAGGAACTGTTAGTGTTTCGACTGTATACAAGTGTTTTACCTTCAGGCTTTTTGAACTGTTTGATCAGACTTTTGAGAAATCTGATCGACGATTCAAGATGAGTCTGTCAAAAAGGTAATTACCCTTGTAGCAACTATTTATACTGTTTTTGTACTAGCAATCAATAATTAACTTGAGCAGTCATTTAGATTAATGATAATGACACTTTCTTTAGTGATAATGGTTTAGTATTCTTCTACCTAGAAAAAGATTAAACAAGGGCTATTTAGTGGCAGATGGAAATAAGTATGTAGTGAAAGTTTTATTTATTCATATACAACGTATGGGTTATTATAAGTTTCATTTTATAAGTAGGATCTGAGGTCAACCACCAAACTCAGAATGGCTTTTAGAAGAGTTTTAATGTCTCTGATTGCCATGACAGGACTTAATGGACTAGTCATAAGTGATAAAACTTATGCAGTTATTTATATGAATATCTTTAATTACAACAGTCAAAATAGCGTTTAGGATTTATCGTCTTTCATGGTGATAACTGCATTGAACTATTGATTGTCTTCATTTAAATGCCTATCAGTTAGAAAGGATTCCTTGGAAAGAAAGTCATTTAGGGTAGATGATAACCATGAACATGTTTTGCCAATATTTCAGGCATTGCTAAATAACTTTTGGAATTTTTCCAGTTAATAGTTACAATCTTCGTGTTGCTGTTTATTTTCAGGATGCATATGGTGATAATGAAGTTAATACAACTACATGTGAAAAGAATCATCATAATTTTTCGTTTGACTCTAAGAAGAAAGACACTGGAGTAGTGACTAACAGGACCAGTAACAGTAACAATGATAATGATATTAATGAAGTGAACTGGACAACATCCAATACAGATATATCTAAGACATTGGCTGTTTTAAACTATTATTACTGGTGGTTGCAATATATGTCAAATGGGATCTCCCATTCCAAACAGTCGACAAATTATGCAATGGAGAACTCAACGTGTACAAACTTTTCTTCGAAGGATTGTTTCACAAAGTAAGCTAAATATAAGATTACCAAAGTATATATCACAAAAAGTAAATGTCATGCTCAAATTCTTTTGAAATTTCAAAATTGATAAAGCTGAGAAAATTTTCAAGCATATAATATGAAAGTAGTGTGTGAATTTCGGTCCATGATAGTAACTATTTATGTTTCATATCAGTGAAGAAACGTTTAATGTATTTTAAGAATTAATGAAGTCATTATAAGTGGTCAGGTGACTGAGATACTTTTAAGACTAAGATCTTTCTTTATATCCAGTTGACACCTTTTGCTTCGAACATCTTCATGGCAGTATTTTGCTTCACACCTTATCACTTAAGGTTATCACTGAACTATTAAACGACTGAATTTCTTACACAGTACATGTAGTACCATTTTAATTAGCTTCCACTTAACGCTACTTGTAACAATGACCGTTTATTGAATTCTTAAAGGTACCATTGAGACTACTTATACCACTTTAAGTAATCGTAATGTTCAAGTTGCGTTTGTTCCCAGCAGAATGCTATCATTCGAGTTATGTATATATATCACCCATGATATGCCTGACTGTAGTGGACTGGATCATGCAACAAACAGTGAGGAGAGAGAAGAGGAGGAAACGCTGGCTGGACAGCAGAAAACAACCTAGAAGATTTGGATTTCGCCGATAATCACTCGTGTCTAATGTCACACAGACTTGAAGATCTACAGGCGAAAACTAACAAGTTGACAGAAGAGGCAGAACAGGGCAGGACAGTGAAGATGGGACTTCAGGTGAATATAGAGAAGACAGAGGTGATGAAGATACACAACCAACACCAACACCGTCACCACCACCAACAACAACAATTGCAACAAGCTGCAATCAACATCAACGGGAGAAACTTGAAGGAAGTAACCTCCCTCACCTATCTAGACAACGTTGTCTCAACTACAAGCAACACACTCACAGATGAGGACGTCAAGGCCAGCCAGCCAGGATCGGAAAGACTGCAAGACAGGCATTCACCAATCTGAAACCAGTGTGGAGATCTTCTGCACTCAGCATGTGGAATAACATCCCGATTTTCTACACCAACGTCAGTCAAATCAGTGCCTCCGTGTGATGGTTGAGAGACTTGACGTGTTACGAAAGGCATTTCCAACAAACTACAGATATTCATGAACAACTGCCATCTACGCTGACTCATCACTGAAGATCAGATGACCCGAAAGAATCAGTAACAAATAACTCTGGCTGGGAAGGAACCAACGAAGCAAGAACCCACCACTCAACAAATATGCAGGGGAAGTAAGTGGAGATGAATTTGATTAGGCATACAGTGAGAAGGCGGACTGGGGACATCACGTGCGAGGCGAGATACTTGAGTGGGACCCAGATGGGAAGCGGTGAGTTGGGTGTGTGAGGTGAGGGTGACATGGAGGAGATGGTGATGATGTTTTTTAATGAAGTATTTTACTCACCTAAAATGACATCAGTGCTATCTGTTACCCAATACTTTTCAAAGACTCGAAACTGTTAGTTATTCTTAGGAATATGAATAATGCAATTACATATGACATCAATATTTCTTTGTTGATTCCACTGAACCGCTGAGATATTGTATATTTGACACTTACACTTCAGCACGTTTTCTTTTCTATTTTATAGTGATGATTAATTAAATGAATAGTCAAGTTGTCTGGACACAGAAGCAATAACTTTATCAAATTTTAGTCAGAGAAATGTCAGCACTTTAAAAGAAACCAACAGAAGACCTGAAAACTAAAGAAACTTCAAATTTCACAGTGTCAGTTGCAAATTTCAATTAAAGTCTCATTGATTTCATATTCTTCCAATGTAAATGACATAAAGGCTAATTGAAGAAACTCATCTTTCTTTTCTTCATATACCCTAGTAGAGATCTTATAGTCAACAAAAATTCTAACAGTGTACAGTTATTCTTCCTCATTATCGATACATTTATGCTAAAACATTAAATATATCTATGCTGATTAGTAAGCGCAGTAATTCTCATTAACGCATATTATTTTAACTGGATGAATAAATTTACTGAAATTTTCAAATTAATAGTAATTATTGTATTTAGAAGATTGTGAGGATTTATTTATTGATTTCATGAACTGATCTCAATCCATGATAAATGCCATCCTGGAATTAGTAGTGATTAGTAAAAATGCGAAGGAATGACTTTTAGAAACAAGCATTTAAGTGATCTTTTCAAGTTGTTATTCATCGTAGACTGACATCAGTTGGAGGAACGAATGAAACCTGGGAGCACTGGACAGCTGTTTCGTTATAGTATGGGACTCTTAAGCAGTGCGTACCCATGACCCCGCCGGAGATAAAACCCATGACCTTCAGGTTCCGTGGCCAGCACGTTACCATTGAGTCACTGGGTCAGAATCCAATGCTCCATATTTCCAACTTCTGTTAGCTCACGATACAGTGCAAGTAATCTTTTGTTTGAATCCCTACTACTGACAAGTTATCGACGATCAAGTTCCCACGAAATATCAAGGATTTTTAAGGTTTTATGAAGTGGATAAGTCCTTTTTTTACATAGCAGCTGCACAAAAAGTTAATCTGCAGCTTTCAAAGTAAAATCAAAACCCAAATGCCAAACATATGGTGTTATATTCATCTAAGTAACATTATAGAATCATTACCAGATTGGACTCTCCCGATTAGTATCTACACCATTCATTTCCTTGCTGCATCACTTGAATTCTACCCCTTTCTGGTAGTTTAAGAATGGCGGTAACAGCAAAAATGATTACAGATACAACAAGGAAATTTATCCCATATTAGAAGCACTCATAGCTGCTTTAAATGATGCAACACAGGAATGATGAGCGTTGTCTTCCTAACCTTCAGTTTCCAAAATGATTTACATTTATAACCGATTGTTTTTTAGCAAACTGTTGTGTAAATAAATACTTACTACTACTACTACTACTACTACTACTACTACTACTACTACTACTACTACTACTACTACTACTACTACCACTACTACTACTACTACTACTACTACTACTACTACTACTACTACCACTACTACTACTACTACTACTACTACTACTACCACTACTACTACTACTACTGTAAACTTTTGTCCTAATACCAAAGAAAGACCTTTTCTTATTGAGTAACAAAGAAGAGAATGAAACCCTACAGCGGTGTTAAATACATGTTATTGGAAGCATAACCTCAATGCAATAATGATAAAATCTAGTTGTCAGTTCACTTATACAACTTATAGTACCATTTGTATTAGATGTGTGAGCAATGAATTTAGATTTTTAAACCTATCAGTGTTCCAAAGTTTAGTTCAAAATACAAAGTGTTATATTCACTTAAGTTGTTTATCAGTCATTGATGTTTACAAAGGATAGAAAAAATCTTGTCTTATTCTATTGGTTACCAATAGAAATCCAGTATATCACTAAAACATTTTAAAACTCGTTCATAGGCACATTCAAATAAGTTAACTTGGTGTTTTTGGTTCATTTGCCTAGTGATATATAAATTCAGTTGAAAATATGGTAGTATAAGGAAAGTTATTTAATCGTAATTCAGTTATTCTTGAATATCAACAGTTATATGGAGTAAGTATGGACAATTCCGTTGTAACTTTAGTGGTATATTACAACTATAATCTGACTACATTTGGTCACAATTTAATCTGAAAAGGTTGGTAAGTTAGAATAAATATTCGTAGCCAAAGTGATCCCTAGAAGAAGGTTGGTTATACTGATTTCACCTTCAATAAGGGACAAGTGAATGAAAGTTAACAGATGTATTCTTATATATCTATTGTGTAATAATATTGTTCGGATTACACTTACTTGAAGAAAACTTATTTTTACTTGAAAAGAAACTATTTGATTTTACCATCATTCTTAGCAATAATTTAGAAGTAGTATTCATCATGGACTGATATCAGTTGGGGAACCATTGGTAATCCGGGAGCACTGGACAGCTGTTTCGTCCTAGTATGGGACTCCTCATCAGTACGCACCCACGACCCGGCTACGGATCGAACTCAGGACCTTGAACTTGAAATATCTCCAAATCCCTACAACTCCCTCAAAATTCAAGAAAAACTTTTTTTCGATAATTATTTGATAGGTGGTTTTAAAGCGGATTATCTTAAATCTGTCAGCAAAATATGAAAAACACGTGCTGATTTTTTAAAACCTTTTATTGATAAAATAATCAATATACTAAAACTATACCCGTCGCACAAGAAGTGGCTATACTGGCTCCATGGTGTAGTGTATAACACTTTGGTGTTTGAAGCGATCGTTCCCGAGCCTGAATCCCGGTGGAAACAATATCATTCACTGGGAGGCGGTCACATCCAGCTGACGAGTCCCAAGTAGGACGTGATGAGCATCCTGAATTCCATTGCTAGCTACTATCCATCATTACCATAATTAAAACACAGGTAACAACTATCGAGGCATCCGCACAGGAGCCCATACACCAGTAGAAATCAGTCTATTCGGTCCAATCAACGACGGTATAATACAAACAATAATACTTTTATTGATTCTCCTAAAATTTGCTATATCAGTCGTTTTATTCCCTTATACACAATCACAGCAATAGCATATATTTTACAGCATTCAACTGTTAGTAAATATGCTAAACTAAATCGCAAAATCTTTCCAGATTAAAGCCTGATATGGTTTTATGTTTTAGTTGTTTACAGATTGAGCACTTGGTAATTGCACCAAAAACTCAGTGGAAAAATAATATTTACTTTCAGTTTTATATCAGTTGCGTAGACTGCAGAGTATATAGCTAGTTTTTCGAAGATCATGAACCATTCAATCACTGTCCTTGAAGATATGCTATCCACAAGATCCCGGTGTTATATTACAGTTTGTTTTCGATTTTGTTCATTTATATCATTTGTATCAACAGTTAGATACAACACCGGCCATCAGATGTATGAAGCTGACGGTGACTGTGGTGATGAGTTTGTGAGCACTCAACAGAAAGTGGTTTTGAAGCATTGCAACACTTTAGAGTAGACAAAGAGTGAGAGATGTTGAGATTAGTTGGAAAGCTCTAAGATAGATTTCCCAAATTTCTGATGAATTGTGACCCGTTAGGTCCATCAACTCGGATGTTAGGACAAATGCTTACCGAGTGGCAGTAGATGATAGTCGTATCGTGCCGCGAATTGAAAGAAGGGAAATGTGGACCGTTGGATTCTGATCTAATAGCTGATAGGTAAGCCGTTTGTCGAGAGACCTGATGACGCTAAGTTCGGTTTCTAGTGGGTTCGTTAGTACACCCTACAGAAGAGCCACATATATCAAATGTATATCTATACAGTCCTATCAGATTTTCAGTGATTCTGATATCAATTTGTGGTGAGTACCGCCAGGAAATCGGTCAATCTTTATAAACCTTTAAATAGGACTCACTACTGTTGGCCGAATTCCCAACTTCCAGTAATCTGATAAACATAGTAGGTCCAGCAAAACTATGTTTCACGAAACTCAGAACACTAGGTCTCTTGAATGTCTAGATGATCCTGCGTGTGAGGTAACTAATAAACCTACCAAACATTATCTTCTAGATGAAATGTTGATACTTCAGAGGACAACCTACAGATTTCTTAGAACTAGCCCCATTAAAATATCCTCACTAATATAATCAGCTTAAGATAGGCCTTATTAAACATATAAGGACATAATAAGCCTCTTAATAACCTCTTGAATAATTGAAAAAGTCAAAATAGCAAACACATACATATATGTATATATATGAGTCAAGAAAATGTTGAGACATACTCCTTAATAGACATATCATTAACCAACAAAATTTAATGATTTTCCACGGGACCACCTTGTGTTTTCATTTAAGAAAGTCAAGTCGCACTGATTATGCAAGACCATAAAGTCTGTAACAAATACTGGGATTCGCTGAAAGGTTATTAGTGTTACATCGTTTTTAAAATGATTGTTGATTACGAGAAGCATAAAGAAAAATGAAATCCGGTGATGAATAATGGCCAGAAATAGGATCGAGTACACTTTTTGTTCGATTTACGACGATTTACTTAAATCTCAATGGGTGATATTGTTTCTGCTGAGACTCAAAATCACTATCCTACGCTTCTATCACTACACTGCTTTCCATTAGGCCATTAAGACCACATGTCAATAGTGGTTCATCCTTTCGGTTCACTTGATGACTTGAAACTATTGGCTATAACATCAAACTATAACCCACACTCTAGAAGTGTCTATCATGAGTCAGTAGCATAGTGAGTTGCGCTATGGCGTTTGAAGTGATAAGTGTTGACTTAGAGTAGTATTGTGAACACTATCACTATGAGGCAAAAGTATCCAGCTGACGAGTCCTAAATGGGATAAAACGTGCATCCTGTATTTTACTCCCGACAACCCTCCATAGTGTTTGATTTATTTTCTGCGTAAATATTTGCAGGGATTGAGAAATCAACAAGCAGGAAACCCTGAAACTAGGCTTCAGGCTTTTTGGCAGTCAGCAGCAAGACATATCTGTAACCATGAGGCATATAATGTTCTCTTGGTAAGTCCGATCTGCATCAGTTAGTGGTGACGCTAAGTATTTCACTACTGAGCTGTTTAAACAGTGAATAACTCTTTTTAAAAGCAAATAATCTAAACTAATTGATCCATTGTGGGTAACGAATGTAGTTATCTATTTCCTGCTTGTTGATACTTGCAACTTCCCGTTGGTATAATGTATCGAACTGCCCAACTTCTGTTAGTAGATGGGCTTCTATGTGGACCCCTCGATAGTGTCCGAATATTCATTTTATTTGAGTCTGCTTGATGGCTAGCAGTAGGATTCAGGATGCTCATTTCTTCCTATTTGGGACTCATCAGCTAGATGTATCTGTAAGTCAGTGAGTAATATTGCTCCTACCAAGACTCGAACCAAGGACCCACAGCTTCAAATGCTGAAGGATTACCCACTAGGCCTCTGGG